TTTTCTTTCAACTAAAGAAGCTGTTAGGACCAGTATCTTGTCAAAAAGGTGGAGACTTGCTGATGGGATCAGTGCATTGCCTGATGCACTTCTCACTCCCATTCTATCTTTTCTTTTGACCAAAGAAGCAGTTTGCGCAACTATCTTGTCAAAAAGGTGGAAATTTGCTTGGGCTTCAATCCCAATTCTTGACTTTAATGATTACGAGTTCTTCAACAATGACACTGAAGATGAGTCGACTGCACAGCATTATGTAAAGTTTGTTGGCAGAGTTTTGAGTCTCCATGATGCTTTTTTCACAAGGAAGCTTATCCTCTGCTGTGAGTTGGAACATAAATCATCATGCATTCAATCATGGGTTTCTGCTACAATTATGCGTAATGTGGAGGAACTAGATATTAGCATTCCTGATTCAGACTCAGTTTCCTTGCCTCATTGTCTGTATGCATGCGGAAGACTTTAAGTTCTAAAACTAGGTGGACCTTTTGTTTTAACAGTTCCTACATCAGTGTGTCTAAACAGTGTAAAGATTGTTAGCCTTTGTGGAGTACAGATTTCGAATTGCTTCTCCTTGAAGAAGCTCCTCTCTGGCTGCCCATTGGTAGATGAATTAGGAATTAGGTACTAATGGAAAAATGCAAAAACATTGCATATTAGCTCAGTTTCATTGGAAAAATTAACAATGGAAAGAGATCTTGATGTGTGCTAATAGTAATACTACAGGCTGTGAAATTGTTATCAACACCAAATTTGAGGTATCTTAAGATTTAAGATGAAGACGGTGGGTCAGAATACTACACTGTAAGTTCAACCTCCCTAGTTTCAGCAGATGTTGATGTCAGTGATTCCCGAGATGTCAATGCATTGGTTAAGCTTCTCAAAGATATCTCTAACATGGTGAGGCTAAAGTTATATTATTTTGAGAAAGATGTAGGTTTGTGCTCTCTATCTCTTTCAAAATATTGTCTTTTTGGCTTTACTTTGTTGAATAGATATTTACCATTTCTCATTTGCAGTTTCTTGAAGGTGATCGTTATCTGAAACTACCAGTATTTCATAATTTGAAGCCTTTGAAAATTCAAATTCCAAGTGCATGGCAGCATGTTGTATTCTTCCTTGAACGATCACTAGTTTTAGCAGATTTGGACCTTGTGAGTGATGACAGGCGTATCTAAATTTGTATATCTGTCTTTGTATGCCAGTACCACTGCTTGCTAATGTGTTATGTGTGTGCATGTACGCGTATGACCTTGTTGACTCAAAATACATTCTATTATAAATCTTGTCTTTTGTCTTTTTAATTGTCATCAGGATTTGGGTGATTACAAAGGTGAGTGGCATCAACCAGATCATATCGTTGGTTGCTTGTCCACACACCTGGAGGAGGTTGGTATCAGTAGTTTGAGAGGTCGGGACATTGAAATGCAACCGCTAGAGTATTTTCTGAAGAATGGAACAGGATTGAAGAAGATGACTATTTCTTTTGGCTGTCGTAGTTGGGATTCTCGTCTTAAGTCAAAGGTGGATGATGTTTTCAATGAATTGTCAATGTTACCAAGGGGATCCGCTGCATGTCAGATTGTATTACGTTGAGATTTCCATTTTGACATGCCATTTAGTGATGTCTTGTTGGGCTGTTTGAACTAATCTAGAGGTAGAGGCAGCTTTCTAGGAGCATGGAACTTTAGGACTTAATGTCTACTAGTTGGGATTATGCTTGTGTAATTTCGATGCTGCGGTGTGAAAGTCCAACTGCTCCATAACATTTGTTTTCCAATGGGATGAAGCTTCGTACTGCTTTATTCAACTTTGAACAAGGTATGCCATTACTTTGTTAGGATATTATTGTTGGGTACTTGTCCACACACCTTGAGAGGCTTCTTACTGTTTTCTGCAAGTTAAACTAAGTATGCCCTCCTATCCATGTTTTATGTGGTAGGGTAACAAGATTAAAAACAATGTCAGATTTTACACATAATATTTGAAAATATATTTTTTTTAAAAATGGAATTCTGGAAGAGTTAGCATGCCACATAGGACGTATTTAAAGGAAAGGACCAAAATGAAGGTTGAAAAATAATTTTTAGGAACGTTTCATGGTAAAAAAGATTTCAAGGACCAAATGAGTCAAAATGTAAGTTTTGGGGCCAGCTTGTACATTGAAACTATCTTCTTTTTTTTTGTTTCTCGCCTGGTATCCGGGGCTTCATCCCGATTAATCCGGACCCGACCCACGTCGAACACTTGGAAATGGTGGGTAAGTCTCCCAATGGAGCTACTGCATACACAAGGTCTCGAACTCGAGACCTTGTTTAAGCTGAAACAAGTCGTTTACCACTTAATCTTACTCTTCGTTAGTACATTGAAACTATCTTAAACCAGGTAAAGTGGCCATGGTTATAGTCACTAACATTTTTGTTAGGGCCAATAAAGTTGTGAAATTTTTATCATAATTTGATTG